CAGAATATCTTCTATCGGATACTGTTGAGGAACATCTTTCCGCCGAAGCTTGAGGAGCTGCTCAGACAGCGCCTGTGGCAGCATTTCAGGATTCGAGCTGATGACATGCAGGCAGTGCAACGGACCTTGCAGGCGGTCCCTCCAAGTTGGGCGGTTGTTGCTTTGAGAACTTTCCTTGGTGGATGGATTACGAATCGACGGATGCAGAGAGATGCGAAGTGTATATATGGTTGCGAGCACGGTGTGGACACCATCGGGCACTATGTCGTATGCTGCCAACGGTGCCATCACTTTGCCGCTCTGGTACTCCGTCATGATTTGCCCGGCAAAGTGGACTTCAGGATTGGTGTCAGAGGTGGCAATCTGGCTTTCTTGATGGCGATCTATCATCACTACCGCCTCATGTCGAGAGTACATGTGGAGGCGCCCCAGTATGCAGGAGCTCTCAAGCTGGTCGAGGCCGCCCGTCTGGCTGTACGTCTACCGCTGAGGGGTGTTCAAAGGCACATGCTTCGACGGTCAGAGTTGCAGAAGGTTGTGCTGGCAAGTCGTACGGCCTCATCCTCCTCGTCATCATCCAGTTCGTCTTCCGAACCAGAAGGGAGTGCCGATGGAGATAGACAGGGAGATGTTCCTTCATGGACGGGACCGCCGTCGACTCCGACGGCGGGGTGGGCCTCATCGGCATCGAGCAGGCCGGGTGTGCCGCCGCGGGTGAAGCCGCTCGGTACCGAGCGCCCTCCGCCTCTCTCGTCTCAGGGCAGTGAGGGCAGTGAGGCGGGTAGTCGGAGTGATGAGAATGCTGAGTACAGTAAGCGGTATGGCTGTCACGGTGTCTGCGCTCTCCCTCTTGGGTCTGCGCTTGAGCCAAAGCTGTAGAGTGGATCCTGGGACGCGCTCAGGGTACGCTCCGCCTCCTCCTCCTCCTCCTCCTCCTCCTCCTCCTCCTCCTCCTCCTCGCTCCTCCTCGCCCCCCTACCTTCTCCTCCTCCTCCACCTCCTCCTCCTTCTCCTCCTCCTCCTCCTCCTCCTCCTCCTCCTCCTCATGTTCCTCCTCCTCATCCTCCTGCTTCTCCTCGCCCCCTACCTCCTCCTTCTCCTCCCCCTCGCCCCCTACCTCCAGCATGCGGTGTTAGTTCTATCCCTCCTCTTGGCTGGGTTTTCGTTTTGAATGGAGGGCTGCTCGCACGTGGACCTCCAGCTGCCTTCTTCCTGCCGTCTGCCCCCTCTGCCTCCCTCCCCCTGCCGTCACCGGGGGGAGCGAATTGAGAAACGGTCGGCATTTTCGTTGGTTCGTGGGAGGTCTGGCGGAGTGGTGTCCCCACGGGGATCATTTTGAGATTTTGCCGTCCCTTGGGGGCTGCGAACTGCAAAGCCATTGCCACATTCGTGGGCCCCAGCGGGGTCCAGCAGACTGGTGTCGCACAGTAATCAGACTGAGATCCCGCCGTCATTGGGGAGCTGCGAGCTGCGCAAGTGTCGCCACGTTCGTGGGATCCTGCGAGATACAGCGGGGTGGTGCCCTACGCAGATCAGAATGAGACTCTGCCGTCCCTGGGAGGTTGTGAAGTGCCGAATCGTCGCCACGTTCGTGGGCTCTTGCGGGTCCAGTGGAGTAGTGTCCCACGCGGATCAGAATGAGACCTCGCCGTGCCCGGTGGGCTGTGAACTGCGACGCTATCGCCACTTTCGCGGGCTCCTGCGAGGTTCAGCAGAGTGGAACCCCACGCAGATCAGAATGAAGACCCTGCTGGCCCTGAGGGGGGCTGCGAACTGCGAAATTGGGTTCCTGCGAGGTCCAGCGGAGTGGTCCAGCGAGGCCTCGCCGTCCTTGGGAGGCTGCGAACTGTAGGATTGTTGCCAGTTTCGTGGGCGCCTGGGAGGTCCAGCAGAGTGGTGTCCCATGCAGATCAAATTGAGACCTCACCGTCCATGGGGGCGCGAATTGCAAAAGTGTTGCCACGTGGGCCTCTGGGAGGTCCAACGGAGCGGTGCCCCACGCAGATCAAGAGTAGACATCGCCTTGACAGGAGGGCTGCGAACTGCGAAGCTATCGCCACTTTCGTGGACTCACGGGAGATCCAGCGGATTGGTGTCCTGCGCAAATCCACGTCCAGAGGCAAGTCGCGGAGCAGAGCGGAAGTCCCAATCCAATGTTGGCATATATGTTACACACTTTTATTATTTCGCATTCGTATGTGTCCCCCGGTGGAGTTGGACCACATCAACGGACCAACATGCCCTTTCCCCTCTCCCTCCCTTCTGGGGCCCAATGAGTACCAAAGCGCATGAAGAAATGTATGATGTCGCCATCTGGGTCCTCTTGGGGGGGCCCAAAGGGCCGCCAGACGGCTCAACATGGCTTCCAGACGGCTCGAGACAGCCCCAAGTCGGCCCAAGATGGATCCAAGAGGGCCCAAGAGGCCCTTAAGACGGCCCAAGAGGGTCCCAAAGGGGTCCACAAGAGCACTTCAAGAGGCCAGTAAACATGATTTCCAGCGGGTTTGAACATATATTATTGTTCTCGCCGTTTTAGATTCTCTGAGGCCCATGACAGCCCAAGCAGCTTCCAAGATTGCCCCCACACACGGCCCCAGAGGCCCCCAACAGAGCCCCAAGACGGCACAAGGGAGCTTCAAGATGGCTTAAAGAGGCCCCCGCGACAGTTCAAGCAGCACCGGGGACAGCCCAAAAAGATGACAAAAGAGCCACAAGCTGGCCCTAACACGCCCCCAAGACGTCCTCCAAAGGGGCCAGACGGCGCAAGAGCGCCCCAAGACGGCCCAAGAGGATTCCAAGAGGCCCAAGAGGGCCCAAAGAGCCCCCAAGAGGCCACCAGGGGCTCCCAAGAAGCTTCCAAGAGACCCCCGAACGGCCCCAAGAAACAACCAAGGGGCCCGCGGATTTATGTACGACCGGCGCGGTTGAGCTCGGCGGTGCCTTGTGCTGACACGTGGTGAATGCTCATTGCCCTCGTGGACATTCGCACGCTCGTCCCCGCGCTGAAACAGGGGTGGGGTGCATCCGCCCCCCGTGGCGCTGACAGCGCCCTGAGGGAGGCAGAACGACACGGCTGAACTGCGCGGCAGACGAGCAGGGCAAACCACCGAATGTCCAGTCTTTAGGCTAAATGTCTTTAGGTGCTCTGGGTGTGCGCCCCGCGAAGGGAGAAGAATCATAGCCAGACCTCCCCCTCCCTGCGGGGCTGCGCGCTGCGCGATTGTCGCCGCTTTCGTGGGCTCCTGGGAGGTCCAGCGGGCGGTGCCCCACGCAGACCCAGACTAGACCTCGCGGCGCCCTGGGGGGGGCTGCGAAATTCGAAATTGTCGCCACCACCGTGGGCCCCTGCGAGGTCCAGCGGAGTGGGGCACCACGCAGACCCAAACTAGACCTCGTGGCGCCGCGGCGCCCTTGGGGGCTGCGACTTGCGCAAGTGTCGCCACGTTCGTGAGTTCTTGGGAGGGCTTTTCGTAATCATTTCTGCAGTTCGCTCCATCGTCCGTGTGTTTCTCCCGCATCGCTTTGTTCCTTCGTCAGCTCGTGGTCGCAGTCCTGCCTTCGATCTGTGTCACAAGAGTGACGCCGTGAATGAGACAGGTTTGACTGGCTCGACGTGCTGTGGCGAAGCGTTTAAGAGCTCCGCGGATCCTTCAAGGTTGTCTGTTGTATTGGGCGGTCCGAGGTATAGTCGCCCCGCGTGTACAAAAGGTGAGGTACGCTCCCGGGTCTTTTGTTGTTTGGTGATACGTCTGTCTTCCGCGGAGATGTGAGTCCTCTACGGTCGTTGCGTAGGTGACGAACGCGGCATGGGAGTTCCACGGTGGGGCGCAAAGAAGTTCGCGAGGCTGGCATTATCTCGCTCAACAAATTTCAATCCGCATGAAATATCAGTTTCCGTCACGATCTGACGTATATCACATGTGAGATTCACTTGGTGTTCGCAATGTAGCTGTTCCCCAATCAGAGCTTGCCTCTGCAGGGGTCCTAACGGATTCATATGGCTAGGTGAGGTTTGGCACCGATTTCGGCGGCACGCCCGGGTGCCCAGGTGCCCGGGTGCCCCGTAGCCCTATAGCGCTATAGCCCTATAGCCTTATAGTCTTTTAGCCCTATAGCCCCATAGCCCTATAGCCCTATAGCCCTGCAGCCCTATAGCCCTGTAGGCCTTCAGCCCTATGGCCCTATAGCCCTATAGCCCCAGAGCCTTATCGCCGTATAGCCCTATAGCCCTACAGCCCCATAGCCCTATAGCCCTAAAAAATTATCATTGGGTTTTTTCTCCAGTATCATTTCTTAAAGGGGGAGTGGCTTCTGGTGAATATGTATTGGGAAGGCCTTGCGGCCGATAACGCCGACCTTGAAGGGGGACGGCGACGACGACGGCGGCGGCGGCGGCGGCGGCGAAGTCGACGTCGCTGACGCCCTGGAGCCCTTTTTGGGGCTCTCTGTGGAGCCTCTTGGGCTCTGTTGGGGCCAGGGCTCGGGCCGGGGCCGGGGCCTGGGCTGGGGTCGAGGCTGGGGTTTGGGGCCGGGGCCGGGGTCGATCTTGGCACTTTCTGAGGCCACGGGACCGTCCCCAACCCCTCGGGGGAGGGATCAAAGGGAGGGGTCTTCCCTTCGACTCGGTTACGATACTGTTAGATGTTTCTCTCGCTGACAAGCTTGAGGAGGAGGGCGCAGGGAAAGGGGACGACGGAGACGACGATTGACAGAGACGACGACTCGAACAGACAAGCCCCTCACACACGCTGACATGGTCGGCGGATTGAATTGTTCTGATTCGCAGTGTCGGGCTATCACCCCTTCTGTTTCTCTGACATATGCGCACGCGGGGGATTTCCCGAGAAGTCTTCGAATGTTGTTTTTTCTTCCTGATCGATGTGATAGGTGTTGCGCCCAATTGTCTGAAGTTCGGAGGATGGTGCCACAAGCCTGCTGTCATGCTGATTTGTGGTCTTCATGTTGGCGATTCAGAAGCAATGATAACAACCGGCTGTGAGCCCTTGCGCGAATAAGCTGCGAACCAGTTACGCCGCCGCAGGGCTTATCGTGCAAGGCGTGACGTCGCACACCCAAGTCGTAAGTCAGCCAGGCGCTTCCGGTTTGCCATGCATGTTGAAAGTTGGAGGCGCTTTGTTATGCATGATGACGCATGTGTGTGTGTGTGTGCGAGTGTGTGTGTGAATGTGTGTGAATGTGAATGCGTGTGCGTGTGCGTGTGCGTGTGCGTGTGCGTGTGCGTGTGCGTGTGCGTGTGCATGTGTGTGTGCGTGTGCATGTGTGTGTGTGTTTGTGCGTGTGCGTGTGCGTGTTCGTGTGCGTGTGCGTGTGCGTGTGCGCGTGCGTGTGCGGCGCGCGTGTGTGTGTGTGTGTGTGTGTGTGTGTGAATGTATGTGAGTGTGTGTGTGTGCGTTTGTGTATGAACGTATGTGTGTGTGTTTCGCTTGGGGGCCCATTGGCCCAGGCTCTCCATGCTATCAGCAGAGCGGGTGAGCGCGGGGACCAACAGCGGAGCAAGAGCTGGGCGCAGAGCCCCAGGGCAGAGGATCGGAAAAACGTGAAGGTTTATGTGCCAAGGCGCCCCGTTGACACTGTTCACAAGCCGCCAGCCGTCTGCTCTCCAACCTCGGATGTTGAGATTTCGCTGGAGCCTGCAGGGTGGAATGTTGGGGGCTTCGTGTTCCCCTGAAGCGTTCTAGTCAGTCGACGGGTGGCAGCGCGGCCGCCTTGTTAGCATCTCTGGAGCTGAGACAAAATCAACGGCACCACAGGTGCACAGCCTCGCCGGCTGACGTCTCCTTTGCGGGCGGGGCCGCTGCCGCCTTTCCCGCCAGCCGCCTTCGCCGCCTTGCCCTCGTTGCGTCGGGCGCTGGCGGCCTGCGCGGGCGCGCCCGCCTCTGCCACGGTCGATGGGGCGTTCCAATCTTCATGTGCAAACGCCATGCTGTCCATATCTGGAGGGGTGTATGGGTTCGAGGCCCGAAAACCATCACGTCACTAATTTTGAGCCTCAGGGCCCACTGAGGCCCCAGATTAGTGAAGTGATGTTTTTTCCCAAGTAAGGACCCCGAAATTCATCGCTTCACTAAACCGAACACAGGACGAAAGTCAGGGGCCGAATTGCTGTTTTGATGCAACATAGGTCTCGTAATGGGGCGTTCACTTAAGTGACGGGCCAACTTCTTACCAAAGTTGCCATTTTATGGAAAGGGCATTTCCCAGACAGCGCTCAGTTGTTCCTTACCTAGGCTCTGCCTAAAAGGGTTCTTACTCTCTTGGCTTACAGGGCCGGGCAGTGGGAACCGGCCTGGGCGGTTCCCCCAGTATCCGCCCCGCGGTTCCCCCAGTTGCGCCCCCTGGGTTCACCCAGCTTAGCTAAGCTAAGCTTAGCTTAGCTTAGCTTAGCTTAGCTTAGCTCAGCTTACCTCATCTTAGCTTAGCTTTGCCTAGCCTAGCTTGGCTTGGCTTAGCTTAGCTTAGCTTAGCTTAGCTTAACTTATAACATATTAATGTTGCGTAGCTTAGCTCAGTTTATCTCATCTTAGCTTAGCTTAGCTTTGCTTAGCTTAGCTTAGTTTATCTCATCTTAGCTAAGCTAAGACTAGCTTAGCTTAGCTTAGCTTTGCCAAGCTAAGCTTAGCTTAGCTTAGCTTAGCTTGGCTTGGCTTGGCTTAGCTTAGCCTAGCCTAGCTTAGCTTAGCTGAGCTTAGCTTAGCATAGCTTAGCTTACCTTAGCTTAGCTAAGCGCAACGCATCATAGCACAGCGCAGCATTAGCACAGCATAGCATAGCATAGCATAGCCAATCATAGCATAACATAGCATAGCTCAGCATAGCATAGCATAGCTCAGCATAGCATAGCATAGCATAGCATAGCGTAGATGTGAGTCTCGCTGTTGATGTTGATGTAGATGTAGATGCAGGTGTAGATGTACATGTAGCTGTCGGTGTAGATGTAGATGTTGCTTTCCTTAATGCTCCAACTCCTAGGTAGGGTCGCACTGGGATAATTCTCCCCTGGCTGACTGGGCCTAGTATTCGCCACAGTGCCTGGGGTTTGGGCTCTGCTACGCTGTAGAAAAAAAAAGTAGCACCCCTCAGTTGCGGATAAGAGTGATGGGAGCGGGCGCAGGGTGGGTCGCGGGGGGGTCGCGGGGGGCGTCGCGGGCGAGGAGGAGGAGGAGGAGGACGACGACGACGACGACAACGACAACGACAACGACAACGACAACAACAATGCAGCAACAACCATCTGCACCGCGGAGCCCCACTTCAGCCACGCGCCCAGGGACAGCGAATGACCGTTCGGCCCCCTCTTTTTGATTCCGTGCCGGAACAGCTACAGCTGCATGACGTCATCATGCTTCTTGGGAGAAGGAAAGAAGAGCAGGGAGGGCGAGGGAAGCGACGCACGTTGGGTTCCACCAGTGGCCGTCTCTTCTTCTGAGGCTACTACCGGTGCCCCTCGTTTCCGTTCGGTCGAAGCGTGCCCCTCGACGCTCGCGCCCACTTTTATGTTGAGGGTTGGCCTTCATCCTTAAATTGTATGGCTTCCCCACGACTGCCAACACGTAATTTTCCCGCATGGGAGTTCCTAAGAGCTCCGACGCGCCAGCCTACTGCGGACCCCAAGAGAGCTGAGTGATTATTCTCCCTCTCTCATGGCAGCACTGCTGCGCGGCGCGTTCCCTGCTCGCCGCCTGCGCCTCCTCTGCACCTGTGCGTGACATGGGCACGAAAGGAACGTCCTGATGCCGTCCGCATCCGGGTCGTGCCGCGCGTCTTGACGGGCTCTTGCGATCATTTGGATGGGCCCTGGCTTGGCCGCGCCCCTGCACCTGGCGGGGCACAGCATGGCCAATTACCTAGACTCGCGCGGTGTACTCCATGCGCTTTGCCTCACACACACACACACCTCCGCGACTGGCCACGATTCCGTCTCCGAGTTCGGGCCCAGCGCGGCGGGCTTGGTATGCCCTGATGTTGGCGTCCGCCACCTCGCCTCTCCACGCCTCCAGTTGCAGCACACCGCCTTCTCGATCCGCTGGAATGTGACGGGTCCAACACAAGCGAATGTCCGTGCGGATACGTCTAAACGCTTGGCCAGATCCGCGACGTTGAGCCTCGTCTCCGTGCCGACTACCGATGAAGCCCGCAAGCGTGCGATCACCGTGCTGTTGTCGGGGAGGTTGCGAGGATCGCCCGGCACCCTCGCCGTCACGCGCATCCTCGAGCGTGGCCTCGGATATGCCGCTGCGCGCAGCCGCTGATGTGGCCGAGTGGCCCCTCCGAGGGGGCCGCGCTCGGGCCGATCCACAGCACCAGCCGCCCTGGCCGGCAGAGCGACCAGCACGCGCCCAGCTCCCCGAGAACGTGGTCCGCGACGTGCTCGGACGTGCAAGGGTTGGATGCAGCCGGGCCAGGGCATAAAAGATCGAGGTCGGTTTGGGGAGGGTACCGCGATGTCCTTCGTGCTCGTCGGCTGCTCTTGCGCATCCTGGGGGAGGGTACCCTCGAATGTTCTTCGGTTTGACGCCTTTCGTTCGCTCGCTCTGGCAAGCTTGCGCCATACCAAGCGGTCGCCTCGTCGTTCTTACCTTCGAGCGCCCGCTGTGGGTCGTGTCCTGCCGCCGATCCTCCTTGGAGAAGCCGCGGGCCGCACGGGGAAGAAGCGAGGCCCCGGACGACATTCCAGATCCAGACGGCGCCGCTCAACAGCATGCCTTCGGCCATCACCAAGACCAAGACGGCTAGGTAGAGGGTGCCACGCATGAGGTATGCCGGCGGTGCTTGCAGAAGAGATGGGCTCCCAGACCATTGAGTAGGCCAACGAGAAAGTGCAACAGCTGCAGAGATAGGCTCTCAGAGCATTGGGTAGACCAAGGAGGAAATGCAGCAGCTGGTCCGGCAAAATGCCGAGAGCACTGCCGAGCGCTCCCCCCCAACTTGGCCAGGATGTAGGCCGCCCGCTCACTGACTACGACGACCCCACTCTCTCACTCTCCTCCTTCGCTGTCGTTTTGGATCCAGCGGCGCCCGATGGCCTCCTCCTACCAGCGGGATCGGGAGTCGGTGGCTCGCGTGAGGGCCCCTGCTCCTGCAAGATGCTGACGACTCCTCGACCTGTCCTGCCGAGCCTCTCTCCTCTGCTCCCTCCTCCTCCTCCTCCTCCTCCTCCTCCTTCTCCTCCTCCTCCTCCTCCTCCTCCTCCTCCGCCTCCGCCTCCGCCCCCTCCCGTGGCAGATTGACGCAGGGCAGGCTCTGTGCACCCGTTTTTCCAAGCGACTGCACGAGAAGGCCCCCTGCGACTCCGTGGGCCATGGTGCCGTGGAGAATCAGACCCGCTGGGCAGATCCCCCACCGCGTGAGCACCGGAACCGCCGAGTAAACGGCCCCCCTGCCGGGCCTGCTGGTCCGGCGCGGCCCGCGCCCTGCTCCCTCGGGCCGCGGCGCCGCGGCCTCGCCCTCGGGGCGGCACCGCCCGCCCGCTGATCGCCGACAGAGGTCCGATAGCCCCAACCCTTCCGGGAAGGTGCGGGTTGGCTATCGGGTCCCCATCGCCGATCTATCGGCGATGCATTGCCGATTCCAGGTCGATGCGTCCCTCCCTGTGCCTATCCCCCCCTTTCGTTGCCCCTCAACTGGCCGGAGGCCGCTGGAGAGGCAGGCGGCGGTCGGGCCTCGGCGGGGCGCGGCGAGGCACGGCGGGAGGAGAGCGCGAAGAGAGGCGCGAGGCGGCCGGAGGGGCCAGGGAGGCGAGGAAGAGCCACACTCAGGCCGTGAGAGTCTTCGCGGGCGTGTCCTCCTCCTCCTCCTCCTCCTCCTCCTCCTCCTCCTTCTCCTCCTCCTCCTCCTCCTCCTCCTCCTCCTCCTCCTCCTGCTCCTCCTCCTCCTCCTCCTTGCCGGAGAAGGAGTGCAGGGCGAGCACGAGGGCGGAGCCGACTGGGGAGCCCGTGAGATAAGGGTGGGGGCGAACAGATCCCTGAGCGCACACCCCCACCCATCTTGGGATCCGCAGCGGGGCATGGCAGCCTCCTCGGAGATCTGCTCCTTGGTCGCCCACGGCGTACTCCACGGCCAGGAGCTCAGGGACAGCATCATCGCAGTACTCCGCGACCCCTTCAACGTGCTCCTCGACCTCGTGCCTCCCAGTCGGGGTTGACGTCCGCGTCCTCGTGCACGCGGCTAGGCGGCTCGTGGTGAGGCTGGCCCCTCCCCCAGTCCGAGCACAGAGGTCACTCCGCCCGCAGACGCCCGCGACAGCCGCGCCCAGCCGGCCCAGCAGCGCGAGGCCACCAGGCCTGCAGAGACGCACTCGCGGGCGCCTCCCTCCCCACATGCTGCCAAGACACCGCGTCGCACGCTCGCCGCGCCGCCTCCCGCCGCTGCGAGAGGGGCACCCGTCGGCGATCTCAGAGGGTGTGGTTACGCCGTGGTGTGGTTTGCGATCTGCGCCGCTGGGGCCCGGGAGGCGCCGCGCTGCCCTCGTCGGGCCTCTTCGTGGCGCGGCGGGGAACTCTCTCGAGGGCCTCGCCCGCCCCTCGGGGTGCACGTTGCACGCCGCACCCCTTGCAACCCAAGCCCTGCGGAGTCGCTGGCGCCCCTCGTCGGATCCGGCGCCGCGGGCCGCTGGCCGGGCGGCAGCGCTTGAGCACCGCCCGCCGCACGCACGCACACAAGGCACGCCTCCAGCAGGACGCGTCGGCAAAACACGTTTAAAGACAAGCCATTGCACCTTTTGGTAAAAAGTGCAGAGCCACAGCTGCGCCATCACCCGCCCGCCCCCGAAAATCGAAATGCCCCATGGAGCTAAAACCTTGAGCACAAAGCAAGGGAGCAGGAGAGGAGGGAGAGGGAGCGACGAGAGGGGGACCACGGGGGAGTCGGATCTCATCAGTAGGCCCAAATGTGACGTTATGATTAAGGAGTCAGGAAAAGAAGAGTGCGGTGAGGGGGGAAGGGGGCTTGGCTCTCTAATGAAGAAGTGAAACCATAGCACTCAGCGGAAAGTACAATCACCTTGGATTGAGGGCACGCTGCGCCGACCGCTGATGCGCAAAACCAGTACGACAAAGAGACAAGATGAAGAGCGAACAAATACAATGAAAGCAACAAAATAAACAAGACACAACGAAAAACACACAAAGCTTGTAAGAGGGACGGGGCGAGGGATGTTGAAGGACGCGGTGATGGCAATGTGGGAAAGGAAGGGAGGGAGGACGGAAGATGGGAAGTGCGGGGGGGTCCCATTGAGTAAGCTATGTGGGGCATGTTCCCTGGCACAGGTCCAATTACATGTTCGGGGACAGGTCTTCTGGGAACGAGTCCGTGTGGAAACGATCTCCGCGGAAGGAGCCTCCAGAGAACGGGAAATTGGGGAAATGGAGAGGTTGAAGTGCATCCTGAATCGGTAGCAGGGAACAAACTGCGTACATAGATGAAGAGTTTGGGCCGTCTTCGACTATGTTTGTCGTTTCCCTGACCGTCGCCTTCGCACGTGTGATGCATACTGTGCCTGTGTTATGTCTGGCCCCTGATGGGCTTCGCCTTCAACGGAAATCGCGTTGCCAGTGTTGATGAGGGCGGAGATGCTGGAGTATGTAAGGGGGATGACGCTGGTGATGAGGGTTGTTAGTATTGATGAGAAGATTCATGTCATGGTGGCGTGCTTACTCGCTGCTTGCTTTCAACTCTAAGTGGTTGTCAGGTCTGGCGTGCTGTGCGGGAGTCGTTCCAAGTGGTCGAGAGATCACGCAGCGAGAGGAACCCATTTTACTTCCGCGTGGGATGCACCTACCTTTCGCTGAGCAGTAGGAGGATTGTCGTATCTTGGGAACCTGATCCCCATGCCGATGACACCGGACGAAACATCCGCGGGCTATTCAATCTATGAAAAGGTATCAGTTTTGCAGTGGCTTCTTTGGACAAGCATCTACATCATACAAACGTGACCCATGTTCGGCAGGAGTGGCAGTGCCGTGTCGTCGGGTACACAGTGTGTGAATATAGATAAGTACGATGAAGCTTTATCAAATTGCAGCTGAGGCTAAGCAAGATTTGTGAGTATCTAAGTCGTCTATGGCGAATCACCGCCGCCCCCTGCCTTTTGGAAACGCCTAAATGGTCTAACGTTGCGGCCAGAGCTCGGCTAAGCTATCGGTCCCGCCTCACGGCTCGCAGACAAAAAAACAAAAAAATCCCCGAGCCGTTGTCGACACTGTTTGGGACCATTTGGGGAGGATCAGGAGAGGGAGGATGAGGGAAACGAGGAAGAGGAGGAGAACGAGGACGAGGAGAAGCAGAAGGCATCTTGGAGGCATCCTGGAGCCTCCTGGGGCCTCGTGGTGACCTCATCAGGCAGTCCGGGACCGTCTTGGAGCAATCTTGGATCGTCTTGGGGCGATCGTCGGCCATGTCGGCCGTCTTGGAGGGCATGGTGAATCATCTTGGAGCCTATATCGGGCAGTCCTGGCCATCTTGAAGGCAATCTGGAACGTCTCTCCTGGGCCAGATTAGATAGCCGTCTTGGATGCCATCTCGGACTCTCTTGGGGCCCTTTTTGGGGCGTCGTGGGCCGTCTTGGGGCCATCTTGGAGGCCTTGTGGGCCGTCTGAGGCCGTCTCCTCTTCTTCCTCCTCCTCCTCCTCTTCTTCCTCCTCCTCCTCTTCTTCCTCCTCCTCCTCCTCCGCCTCCTCCTCCTCCTCCTCCTCCTCCTCCTCCTCCTCCTCCTCCTCCTCCTCGTCCTCCTCCTCCTCCTCCTCCCCCTCCTCTTCTCTTCCCTGCCTCTGCTCTCCGCACTCCTTTTCCGTACATCACCGCCGTCATCGTCGTCAGCAGCAGCAGCATCATCATCAGCAGCAGCAGTATCACCGTCACCGTCACCATCATCATCATCATCATCATCATCATCATCATCATCATCATCATCATCATCATCATCATCATCATCATCATCATCATCATCATCATCATCGACATCATCATCATCATCATCGTCATCATCATCAGGAAACATCATCATCAGCATCATCACCACCTGCATCATCATCCTGCCTCTGCAGCATCATCACCATCCTCATCCTCATCATTATCGTCATCATCATTATCAACATCATCATCATCGTCATCATCATCACCATCATCATCTTCACTGTCGTCGTCGTGGTCCTCGTCGTCGTCGTGGTCGTCGTCGTCGTCGTTGTCGTCGTCATCGTCGTCGCTGCGCAACGGCGCCGGCACCGTCGTCGTCGTCGTCGTCGTCGTCGTCGTCGTCGTCGTCGTCGTCGTCGTCGTCGTCGTCCTCGTCGTCGTCGTCATCGTCGCCATCGTCATCGTCATCATCATCATCATCATCATCAGCAGCAGCAGCATCATCATCAATACGGCACACCCCTCAAGAGGATCGTGGCCCAATAGGGAGCACAGAAGGCTCCAGTGGCAGGGGTCGCATGGCAACACCGCGCCCACTTTGGCACACCCCTCACGAGGATCGTGGCCCTATACGGAGATCCACCGAAGAACCCAGTGGCAGGGATTGCACAGCAGCACCGCGCCCACTTACACCCCTCAAGAGGCTCGTGGCTCCAGAGGGAGGTGCACCGAAGGCCCCAGTGGCAGGGGTCGCATGGCAACACCGCGCCCACTTCGGCACACCACTCACGAGGATCGCGGCCTTATAGGGAGCTTTACCGAAGGCTCCAGTGGCAGGGATTGCACAGCAGCACCGCGCCCACTTAAACCCCTCAAGAGGCTCGTGGCTCCATAGGGAGGTCCACCGAAGGCCCCAGTGGCAGGGGTCGCATGGCAACACCGCGCCCACTTCGGCACACCACTCACGAGGATCGTGGCCTTATAGGGAGCTTTACCGAAGGCTCCAGTGGCAGGGGTCGCTTGGCAGCACCACGCCCATCTCGGTACACCTGTCACGAGGATCGTGGCTCCATAGGGGGTTCCACAGGAGGTCCCAGTGCCAGCGCTCACATGGCAGCGCTGCGCCCATTTCGGCACACCCCTCACGAGGAACGTGGCCCCATAGGGAGCTCCACCGAAGGCCCCAGTGGCAGCGCCCCGCATGGCACTTCTGCAACCATCTGGGGGCCGTGTCGTCGTCGTTGTCGTCGTCGTCGCTGCCGTCGTGGTCGTCGTCGTCGTCGTCGCCGTCGTCATCGCTGCGCGACGGCGCTGGCGTCGTCGTCGTCGTCGTCGTCGTCGTCGTCGTCGTGTTCGTCGTCGTCATCGTCGTCGTCATTTTCAGTGCCATCGTCATCGTCGTCGTCGTCGTCGTCGTCGTCATCATCATCATCATCATCATCATCATCATCGTCATCGTCATCGTCATCGTCATCGTCATCATCATCATCAGCAGCAGCATCATCATCATCATCAATACAGCATGCCCCTCAAGAGGATCGTGGCCCAATAGGAAGCTTCACCGAAGGCCCCAGTGGCAGGGGTCGCATGGCAGCACCGCGCCCATTTCTGCCCACCCCTCACGAGGATCGTGGTCCTGTGGAGAGGTCCACCGAAGGCCCCAGTGGCAGGGGTTGCATGGCAACACCGCGCCCACTTCGGCACACCCCTCACGAGGATCGTGGCCCTATAGGGAGGTCCACCGAAGGCCCCAGTGGCAGGGGTCGCATGGCCCATTTCTGCACACCCTTCACGAGGATCGTGGTCCTATAGGGAGGTCCACCGAAAGCCCCAGCGGCAGGGGTCGCATGGTAGCACCGCGCCCGTCTCGGTACACCTGTCGCGAGGATCATGGCTCCACCGAAGGCCCCAGTTGTAGCGCCCCGCATGGCACCTGCGCAAGCATCTGGGGGCCGTGTCGGAGGAGGAAGAGGAGGAGGAGGAGGAGGAGGAGGAGGAGGAGGAGGAGGAGGAGAAGGACGAGAGGAGGAAGAGGAGGAGGAGAGGAGGAAGAGGAGGAAGAGGAGGAAGAGGAGGAGGACGAGGAGGAGGAGGAGGAGGAAGAGGAGGAGGAGGAGGGGGAGGGCGGGAAAGGGAACCTGAAAAGGCTCCTTGCCCCGCCTGGAATTGCCGAAGAGAGATCCTGAAAAGGCTTCTTGTCCTGCGGCCGGGGAGAAACCATGGAGAGGTTGTGTGTCCTCTCTGCAGTTGCGCTACTTTTCGGGTTTGGTCTTCCTGCAGCGGAGCGTCCATTATATCCCGAGTGGGCGACCCCATAGGAAGACCTGTCGAATGATGGACGCACAAACACGGCACCCACAATTGCATATGGTTGGGCCTTCCGCCAGGATAAGTTGTTTCAAGGATGTCTCAAACTAGAGCTTCATGTAGAACTCACGAGCTCACTCAACATCTCTATGTTCTCAGGGTGTCTTGAGCGAGAGCTTCATGTTTGATACGTGGCGTCGTAACCACTGTCCTCTGACACCTTCATGTCGTGAGGGTGTCTCCGGTGACGCGCTCGTTTCAGGCCCTGCCCCCCACCTTTTGAGATCGCTCCATCACAACTGTGTCTGATCATACCTACAGCGAGAGCTTCATGCTTCATGACTGCCGCACAACGATGTTCTCCACCGTCTCGATTCTGTCAAGATGTCTCGAGCGAAACGCACGGAGGCTGGATCAGCTTCAGCCCCACCTCCCTCCCTCCCTCCCTCCCTCCCTCATAGGACTTAATGTCATAGGAGCAAACTACTACCTAACATTCAGCACGCCGTGCACTCCTTCTGTGGCCAGCCAACAGGGAGCGGCGAACCTAGTGGCCTTCGGCCCATCCCGCCACCGCGGCTGGGTTGTAGGTCAGAGGCCTCCTAGATGCCTGGAGGGGTATCTTGGGAGGCCTCTCGGAAGCCTCTTGGAGGCGGTTCTGGGGTGTCTTGGGGGGCCTCTCGAGGGATCTTGGTGGCTTTTTCGGGTCTGAGTTGGGCCTCCTTGTGTTCCTGGAAGGCCTCTTGGGGGCAAGCTGGCGGTCTTTGGAGACATCTTGGGGAAGAGGGTTCGAAATGTCAGTTCGTGTTCCCCCTCTTTAGGGCCTCTTGGGGGCGTCTTCGGCCTTTTCGGGGCCCTCTTAGGGCTGTCTTGGGCCTTTCGTGGGAGCCTCTTGGGGCGATCTTGGGGGCCTCTTGAGCCGTCTTGTCTTGGAGCGGTGAAAGCCCGAAAAGACGGGAGCGCTAGAATCCCTTACAAGCCTAGGACGCATCAATACTTTGGGCCTCTTTGGTGTTCTCTTCGAGCCCTCTTGGGGCTTCTTGGGGGCCTCCTGGGCCGTCGCGAAGCCATATTGGACGTCTTGGGAAGATCTTGGGCCATCTCGGGGCCACCTTGAATCCCCTTGTGGGCTTCTTGGAGCCCTCGTGGCCCGTTTCGGAGCCCTTTGGCTTCCGTCAAAGTCACGCGGGGACACGCGGCCCGTCCCGCAGAATCCCGCCAAGTGGCCCCGGGCCCCTAAATCCTCAATCCTTTGGACTGGATGAGGACACTCAAACTCGTGCCACGCGGCACGGCGGCGGCGTTGACACACACACACACACACACATGTATCGGAGGTTGGGGGGTGAGATCGAAGTGGAA